AGGAGAAGCACAAAAAAAACCTGTGCACACACTTGCGTTTTTGTATTTACCAAATAAAGACAAACTTCTGAATCAGAGTTCTGTCATTAACTCCATGTATGGAGATTTAAATCACATTCAATAAACATTAAACAAGTCTGTCACTTGTAACATACTGGTCAACATTTTCTTAATTTCACCAGTCTTACATAATGCACTAACAATATTGAATAACATATAAAAGATTTACGACATGCATACTGATTTTCCTCTTTTAGCCTTGCTAAGAGCTGTAGCCTACTTTAAAATTCATCCTTCCATTTCTCAACTATTTCAAGTACAAAATACTATAAAGTGAATAATATGGCTAAACAGTATTTTAGCTGACAACAGAAATGGACAGTTTTAAAGTAAATAAAAGATATATACCTCTCTGGATCCCACAGAGATCGCCGACGGAGACCTTCTACCAAACCTAGTGTTGAATACTCCAGCGTCTCAATGGCATCCTCATAGTCACTCATTGCAAAGGATGAACTTTATACAATATGCTATAAAAATAACAAAAAAATAATTACTGTTATTACACCTGAAAACAAATTCAATTAGCAACACAATAGTTGATACAAATCATAATGATATCTTAACATCTTGAACTTCCTGTAAGTAAATTAATTACCTATAATACCTCATGCATGGCCTTTTATATTTATTCACTGGTGTTATCTCTTTAAGAAACTATGGCCTAATCTGAATATTATATGTAATTTAAATTAAAATGACATTTTTTTCATCTGGCCACATGGAATAGAGAAACTACAATATTTTCTACAACATTTAAATAACATGCACACAAACAAAGATTATTATGAAAAGAGAAAAAAATGGCTCGCTGTCACTCCAAAGTGTATACATAACCAAATGGTTCAGTATGTCACACAACATATAGAAAACTCACCCATTTCAATCTACGTCTCCCTGCAAAGTCACCCGGTACAAAAACAGGCAGTTTTAACTACACTCATTAAACTGACAAGGTTTATCTGTGACACAGAATGTATCCACATACAAAATCCAACATATAAAAGAAGCAATCAAGAAAACTGCATCTTAGCAGATTTCAACATAGTATGCATAATACAGGAAAAAACCCAAAGAGAGATACTTATTGTGGTGTCCACATTTCTGTTCTGACAAACATCAAGCAAGCTTAGAAAGTTGCCTGAAAAATTTAACATGGTTTATAACCATATAAAGTTCACACATGTTAAAACCAGCGAAGGATGACCAAGGGCTGAAAAGTTCAGGGTCCACAGTATACCATACATAGATAGTAGCTCCAAAAACATCAGCTACAACAGTAATATTAAAAAATACTTTCCTTTTTGTAAATTACATACATATGAAGAAAATTACTAGATTCATTCCAAAAGGAACATGCATATGCATGTACATCAATAAATACTTCTATGCTTTTCTATGCCAGAGAAGTGTAAAAATTGAAAGTGGATAATCATAACTACTGAATGTCTATAGGAAGGAAATATAACTTATTCTGATGCTCACAATGGCTAGTCATAACTTTCTACAACCAGCACCTTAAAGAACATAAATAGTGAAATTTGTTAACATTTGAACAACTATTAAGATTAAATTTTTAAAGCACAGTAGTAACGCTATGTATCACGTTTTAACGTTCAATAACTCTGCACCTGCTCAAGTGTTTATGGACTTCATGTAATTCTCAGAATGAAGAGCAATTATTTCCTTGAACAGCTTTAACCAATTTATCTTCGCAATGAAGATGTGTTGGGTTCTCTTTAAAAAAATTATTTTTTAAACGATGGTTAGATAAACTTCATACTCCAAAAGGTTTAGTTAATTCATGACTTCAGAGTTCTTTCTGTCACTTCTATTAGAACATGGTTACATGTTCCACTTCATCTTGGTATCTACCAAATTTCATTAACTCTAATTCCAAATGGTCTTGTGCCAGTTAACACATAAGATAAAAAGGGGAACACATTGTTCAGTATCCATAATTATTACAAAATGTCCCTATTACCTCTGCAAATTTGTTATCAGACAAATTCTTCAAAGATACATACTCACCTTCTTGTTACAGTCCAACTATTCCAAGTCAATGGTACTAAGATGGATGTGAAGTTTGTAACATGAGGTGATCATAACTTTGTTCATCGGATCGTATGAAAGATATATCTGTAAGTTAAGATATTTAATTACAGACTCTTGGAACATTAGACTTTGCCTTCATACCTAGTCATTATGCAACCATACGAATCTTTTTATATAACACACTGTTATTGGTAAAGCATGCATGCACGTCACCGAAATTCGTTAAATAAATAAAAAAAATCATATATGTTGATAAATAAATAATAATGGATTTCATTATCGCCTAACACCCCAAAAACAATCACACTGATCTTTTTCCTCATGCTCAATACATACGAAAATAAATTACACAAGACACGAGCAAAAAAAGGGAGTTCTGAAACAAAACCGAGCCCTTTTCGGTTCTAATAACAATTAACTATGACAAAATTATCATTAACTTATAACTTACACCATACTTCAACTACATTTCACACACCCCCCTTCTATTCCTTACGTACATTGAAGGTCGATTACGGACGCAAAAGCAGAATCCCACTTCCTGTGACACTTGCGCCATCCAGTACTCACATCCACCACTAGCACCCTAGACTCCGAACCTTTGCACGCGCAAATCACTTTCAACAAGGAAACGCTTCTAGACATAGATTACGTAACAGTTTAAAACTCGAAGTCATGTATTTATTTAATGAACTCAATCCATTCAAGTTGAGGGTCTAATGTAAATAAAATTCTTTATTGTAGTATATCATCTAGGTCGGTTATATTTGTCCATAAACCAAACCCTTCCTTCCTTGGTAAGGAAGTCAGCATCGCCTCATTGATCACCTAAAAAGTTATGAGGAACTTGGAGCATATACTTAAATAAAAAACAGGGTGTCAAGTACTGTCCGCGACTGTAATCTTGTGACTTGTGGGTGTGGAAGTGGGTGATGGAGGAAAGAGCATTCCTTGTAACATTCTATTTCTTTCAAGAAAGATTAATTCCATCTATGCCTAGTCTCCCAAATTGTATTTTCCCTTTATATTTCCCCACTAAAAATCTAACATTTCTCATCTTGTCATGCATGCTACATGTCCTGCCCATGTGATCATCCTAATAACATATGGCACAGCACAAAACATGAAGCTCTTAAATGTGCAATTTTTTCCATCCTCCTGTTACTTCTACTTTTATGTCTATATATTCTCCACAGCACACTGTTCAGTAACATCTCAATCCATGTTCTTCCCTTATGGTGAAAGACCATGACTCCACACCCACAAAACAAGTAAAATTTTAAATTGTCAAGAATATTTTGCAAATCATATACTAGCCCAAGCACACATAATGAGACTTATCAACCATCCAATCAAAATAAATCTATCAATAATAGACATCTGTAAAGATAGCTATTAGGACAGTATTTATAAAACAAACAGTTCAAATTAACATGTCTTTTGTACGGAAATTGAAATTATTACATATACAAAAACACATTTTACTTGCTCCATAAAAACAAGACCCAATTTAATTATAAATGAATTAAGCCTCCTTCTGACCTTTTCATGCTATTACTGAAACGAGGGGTGTATTACCCATGTTAACCTGATCTAAAAAGTGAAAAATCATTCAAACTTCCATTGGCACAGAAACCTTATCAAATTCAAGACACATTTCACATTGATGGTCAATTACAGCAGGATGTCAATTTGTTCATTGCAGTATTCTGTATGGCATTTAACATAAATAAAGCATATCAAAGTTGAAAATTAAGTTCAACACAATAAAGCCATGTGGAAATTTAAATGCATGTAAATACTGTCTTAGTTCTTCAGGACACGTTATTTAGTACTAATGAATGCTCATCATTTCTTACTATACAACAGCACAATATTTACATAAATATATTTTTGCCATGTGAAACAAATTATGAAATACTAATTACTTAGACGCATAAACCAGTATTTACGTGTCATCATCTTCCTAGGAACATAGGAACAAGAAGTTAAGACACCTTGCATTAACAGAAATACAACATTCTATCTAGTAAACTGTAGTACTCATGTTACATTAATGTACCCAAAAAAGAAGTCGTCAGTGTCGGAATCACCACAGGAAAGTTCACAGAATACGAGACATACTTTCAAAACCACATCCCTGAAAATAAAAGGCAATCAACACTGTGGAAGTGTGAAGGAAATACTCGGACAGCTCCCTTGACTGGCGAGCAGTTGGTCACAGTCCTCTGGGACACAAAGGACAACCTGATAGTGAAGTGACTTCACCAAGAGGCAACAGCAAACTGTCATTCACTGCAGTATTATCACATCTTCATCTTCCCTACCAATTACAACTTGCAGCAGTGTCTGAGTTGGTGTACACTATCCCAAAAGGCTGATGTGCTGCATCCACCATAAACTTACCACAATGATGGCAACATGACATCAGTTGAAAGTATGTGGAGTGTGACTGTGTGGCTATCAACGTGTCTCAGCCTGTATTCCAGGAGAGTCCCCATCATTTATGAATTACCCTTAATAGTATTTAGAATCAAAAGTCCTGCACCCATACTTCATGATAACATCTATTATTTTACATTTGCAATGAAACTTTTAACTGACAGAGTTGTCATGAGGTCATTAATGACTGACTACTTGGTGTTGTGGTATCATATGCTGTGATGATGAACACAACTGTCTCACATACTAGTATATTTAATATACTGTATATATAAAACATATTTTATAGTATTCAATAAAATAGTGCATTCAAATGGTGGGGTACATTAACTTGTTAGTTTACATACTTTGGAGTATCAACAATAAGAAACAAATTTCATTCTTTTTTAATGTCAATATTTGCTCTTATACTTTAACTCTTTAACCTAAAGACAGAATATTTACTACAAATTGTAATAACCATGCCTTCAATTTATTTGTTCAAAATAGCTAGTAGTTTGTTAGTAACTCAAAGGGTGATTTCAGTTATTTCAAAGCATGGACCAGTATGAATTACCAACATGATAGTTATAGTGACTGAAACTATTTATTCTGGTGCTATCTTCAAATAATTATCATTCTAAACCATATGGTTTATACTATGAGAACAGATAACATTTTTGACACTGTTATGTAAAAAAAACTTCTATGTACTTTTTTTTAAACGTAATTGTATGAAAATGTTATTCTGCCTGGAATTAAATTTATTTTACTTTTCAAAAATATACACATATAAATTCCCAGTTTTTTCTTCTGCCGCCAGCTATTAATGCACAGTTACAAGTATGAAGATGGCTGTCTTACAAGATGTTGCAAAGTGTAGTCAAACAGATACTATCTGGCACTTCTGAGGAGCTTACCGTCTCCATCATCATCGCACCAGAAAGTTCCTCTGAAATGTTGGTCAATATCTACCAGACTACATGGCACAAGATCCCAAAAGACAGCCATCTTAAAAAGTTAAAACTTCCCTGCAATTACCTCCTATGCACTACACACTCTTATTTATTTTAAACACATGAATGTTTTAACAATGCTTTATGATAATGTCTTCAAGTTTCATCAAATTCTTGCACTGGAATATCAAGACTGATTCGTAAGGCAAGATGCCATCCATTCTGAGCAACATTGAGATCAACTCATTATCATTTTTAAATGTTCTACCTTTTGTATTTAAAGATGTCATCAAGAGGGCACAAGAATGTTAGCTACTAAACTTTCAAGGAACTGCCTTATGAATCATACAACTTAAATGCCTTGGCAAATAAACACAAACACTGACATGAAAAAATGCCAGGAAAGGGGTATCACTAGACATTTAAGAATAAGCTAAGCAGTAGGCCATTTAAATGCCAAACAAGGCATTAACATTTTCTCACTGGCATTAATTTAACTGATATAAACTTAAGTCTTCAAGGTTTCCCAGTCTTCAGAAACAAATGCAGTTTGGGCTTCATATAAGATTCAGACAATGTAAAATTAATACAGTATGCTTTCACTTAATTATGTTAGAGCAGAATCAGCATTCCACAACTTAGTATACTGGTACAGCATTTCAAAATACATTGAAAAATAACCAATCAACAAATCATACATACATTACTGGTAATAATGACAGGAAATGTCTGTAATCCAAATGTTTCTTCTACCAAATGGGACACAAATAAATACAATGGGATCTGAGAACTGCAACCACTTTCACATGTGGACTGAAGTTATGTTGATGATTCCAGTGGTTCTGAAGGGCGGAGGAGTGTCTCAATCTCAGACAGAATGTTAGTGAGAAGCATGTCGCAATTGCTCTTTCCTTCAAAGGAGACCTGAACATCACTGCCACTGTTTCCAGACTATAACAAATCACCAACAGTTTGAAACATTAACCCAAATCAAATACCTCATATATAAACTTATTAATACTTTAATTTGTAATCCATTTAAATAACTGTCAGATAATCTGTTCTTATCATTTAAAAACAATTATCATACTTATCCATAAATAAAACAACTTTTCAAAATCAAGTGGACAAAAATGGAAAAGAAAAATTATTATACAGTAATAAGTTTCCTTTTCATTATAAAGTAAGCTACATACATTTTCAGTGTTACCTAGCATTCTTAAAATAGTGAAATCAAAGAAAGGAGATTATGACATGCAAAACAAGTAGTTCAGATGAAGGAGGCAAAATGTATAAAAAAATTGACAGTCAAACCTGTAAAATGATAATCTGGAAGATACCATGAAGACTGTTTATGAAAATGGGTTGTGAGGATAGGAGATGGATATAACTGATTCAGGGTCAAGTCCAACAGCAGGCTGTGGCTTTTTAAACAAACTTTCTGTTTTTAGTAATCATAAACTAATTTTCCAATACACTGGTAATTTTCACTAAACAAAGAGTAACAGAAACTGCATTACTTTCTAGGTGCTTCCTTCAAAAACATAAATAGAATATTTTGATGATAAAAGGCATTTAATGTGATGGAAGTTAAAATTAATAGTTACAGAAACAGTTGGTGATCAACACAACCACTTTCCAGCATCAAATAATTAAAAATCTTGCCACTTTTAAACACCATACATATTCAATAATCAAATCTGTTACTATCCACTGATAACAGAGCTTTTCATTCTAATATTATCTCATTCCCTCAGTACTTGCTACAAAATTATATTTAACAACCTCCAATTTCCAAAATATTAAGATTTTTAAAATTGAAACTGTAGACTACAGAAACAGAATGTTACTGCCTTCCACATGGGGGTCCCTGCTGTAGGAAGAATTTGTTAAAGATTATTAAATTATAAAATAATAACAATACACGAACATTAAGATGACATTCAAAGTAAAGTGTCTACCACATAACGGTCCACAAGCAAAATTATGCCATACTTGTAAAGGGGTTAATAACATTTTCTAATTATGTAGCAAGCTTTAATCACTGAATGCATAAAAACATTTCAATACTCAGTTAACTCAGGTTATACAGAAAAATGAAATCCCAAGAATGGAGTAAAACTGGAAACACCTAAATTAGATTACTATTTTCTGTATTATTCATAAAAGTAGTTGTGATTACATACATCCATTGTGACATATTTTGGAATCGTTGTACAGGTGACAGAATATGTATAAAAATGTGTTCTCACGAGTCCTCAACATTTTTCTTAAACCTTATTTTATAAAAATACCCCCCCCTCCCCCCCAGAGATTAGTATTCAACTGAAATTTCTGTGAAGTGCTATTCATTGGTTATATGCTAGAGAGTTTACTACAAGCATGCACAAGCCCAGCACATATAAACTTCTGAAGCAGGATGTCATTTGTTTCAGCTCAGATGATAAACTGCATACTGTATTTGTAATAAAAAGATAGAGCTTCATAGTAAAATAACTTGATACACTTGACACAGAGTACGCTTCATATCTTAAGCATTTATTTTTGTTAAATAAATGTACATATAAATACATGGGACCCAAAGGTCCTCATTGTATACTCATAAGAGAGAGGTTTTGTGGTGTGCCAAAGAATCTTCCATGTAAAACAGACATATAATGCACCCCCTGGAATTACATGGTTAATGGTAAATTACTTTAGGGTTGAATTCAAGGTGGTGCTGGGTTTCTCAACTATATAAAAAAAACTTACTTTCTGAAAAATACAATGAGTTGAATTATCCCAAAATAAGAAACAAAACTAGAAGTAAAATATAGAAACAGCTTCTATGAATTAAAAAGTGCTTGATGATTACCTTAATCAGAAGACAGATGTGGTGGTCTTGAATGGAGCGGCTGTACAGGGATGCAGTCTCATCAATCTGCTCCACAAGCATGAAGTGGCAGTGGAAACACACTTGTGCCAATATCTAAAACAATTTTATTAGCTTCCACACCATTCAGAATAAACCTCAAGATTTTTGGCATTATACACTTTCCTCAGATCCAGGATCTAAGTAAACTACATTTATAGATGCGTAAACTTTATGTTGCATTAAAGGTTTAAATCAAAAATGCCAAATAACAATGGAAATATTGCAAATACAATATAACACCAAGCTCTCGACATATTTACATGAATTTAAAACCGTCCAAGACCATTTCTACATGATAAATTGGACCAAGTCCCTCATTGTCCCAATGGTGGAGGCAGCAAGGACCTGTGGAAAGTTGGTAAACTTCCAACAGACAGCACTACAACTTATGAAAAAGAAACTGCTCATATAAGCACTGCTATCAAATTTATATATACATATATTGCCTGTAAATCAGATCTGTTGTGAAGTTTTGTCAGTACAGTTGGAATGTGTTCATCTTCCTGGTAAAATAACAAAGGAACTGTACCATTTTTCAACTGCATTTAAACATATGCTTTGAATACGCTACTAAAATGTTCTGGACCCCTGATTTATAAATTGAGAAATCTGTGTAATTTATTCAGAGCAGTGAAAGGTCTTTGATATAATGGAATTTCAAACATGCAAACCAGATATTACACATTATTGGTGCATGACCTGCACATGGCTCAAGGATGAGTGCATTGTAAGTAATATGTATACATTATTAGACAGATAATCATAACTCTGTGTTTGTCAGCCATACCAGACCATCACCAGAGATCAGATACCATAATTTGCATGCTACCAGCCATCATCATTATTTTCATTATCATCCAGGCAAGTAGAGGTCAAGATGGTCAAAGACCATACCTGAAGGCATAAGCCACAAATACTGTATCTCCACAAACAAGGAAAAATCTGTGGAAATTATTTTGTGACTCGCTTTTCCCTCATTTCAATATTTCGCATTGGCAAAAGTTTATAACGCAGCTAGACAGAGTTGTAATTCCAAATTTAATGATCTATCATATTAAAAACAAACACTGCCACATTCACATCAAGCAAATGATTGGGAAGCAGTTGGAAGAAAGATTCATCATTTTATGTACAAAAAACTTGGATTACATAATACTGTTTTAAAAAACTCAATACTTTCACAAACTTCAACTAAAATTGCATTTTCTATCAATTTACTACCTGCCAAAATTTTTGTGGATTAGCAGATAGAAGACAAACCTGTGAAAATTCTCCTGGAATATTATCAAGGAGCATGGACCTCCGTTTTGTTAGTTGGCCACTAGACAGCAGATCAGTAACAGTATCACGATGTGACAATCTACCAATCATGAAAGTTGAACACGGTAAACTTAACCAGAAGTCAAGTTTCTCATGTGTGGATGACTCATCAGCAGTCTGAAAAAAGAAACACTCATATAGCGAAGAAAAGAGAGAGAGAGAGAGTGTGTGTGCGTGTATACATTCAATATTTTGTTGTTATTCAGTTTTCCACTAATCTAACAGTCTTCTCAATTTGTTAAAAAACCTTGAACCTAGAACACATACATACTAGAAGTGACAAGGAAAATACTAATGCTATAGAATCTGATCCAACTAGTTTCTGTTACTAATGGCCTGTTTTATGGCCATATCAAGTCAAAACAATTTTTATTAATAAAAAGAATGAGAAGCTTATCTTGGCAATACTGCAGTCCCTTTTTAAGAACATCTCCTTTTTTAACAGGTACAAACTTACTGAAAAGATAACATTAATGTTGCAAATTCTCACCTTATATTCTGTTAACATAGTATATTTTCCTACAATTCTATGACCTCACCTGGACCATATAAGTGACAGTCCCCCTCACTTTATGTGGGAATGTCACATCTGCCACACGGAAGGCAAGCTGAGCCTCGCTATTAGACCTAGCTGGGAGTTGGAATTGCATCTTGATCCCAAACTGATTGTCTCTGTTCTGAAAGCACAAAATAAGCTTCTTGACCTATGAGGCATGAGAAGATGGAAAATGTATAATTCAAGAGTTTTAACAATTATGGATGTAAGCCCAATTTACAGAATGCAAATTTTTATACCTGGCATTCAGACAGACAAAAGGCATGTCTGCTGTGATGTGCATATGACTCATTTCAAATAAGAATGTAGAATGTATCAATCACTGTGGTTTTATCATTTATAACACAATCCATTTGCAAGGCAAGTCAAATTTCATGATGATCAGATCTCCACTGCAAGACAACAAACTATTTTTAAACCTGGACTGAGATCTCAGGTTTCTGGCTAGCACAACCAGGAGGCCCTGCAGATAGTTTTTTTTTGTCCTCACTCCCTTTCTTACCTGTTCACAGACAAAATCCAACTTCCAAAACATTGTATTTTTCTAATTTGTATATTGGAAAATGGACAAAGTCCAGAAGGACAATTTAATATGTTTTGATACACTGCTATCCAAATCAAAAAAGTATGCAACAGCTTGCTAGGTCTCTTTGTGCAGATATGGATCATTACGAAACAAGAGTTAAGGTTACAATAAGTCGTGTCAGTGACTTTTCACTCTCAGCATTGTTCTATGACATTCTGTGTGGCACTGAATAAGAGTCCACTAAATTATTACCACTCAACCTACATTACATACATGTAATGTAAATGACATAAAAGATAGAAATGGCAGTCTTCTGGGCTGCTGTGCCATGCACTCTGATAATGGAGGCAGCAAGTACCTCTGACATGTCAGTCAACTTCTGTCACACTAATAACCCAGAAGACAGCCATCTTCATACATGCTGATATGGTAACCTGAAATGTCAACATAAAAGCTACTCTTAACCTGTGCCATTTTAATTTTATTTGATATCAGACACAAGAAAATTCAAAGAAGTCAAGCAGAGTACATACAGCTCTCAGCAAGCTCACAGCTGGAGTATCACACATGCTGAAAACCACTTCCTTAATGAGAGAAGAGCTTTGATTTTAGCAGGAAGGAAATTACAATCTGATCAATCTCATGCGGTAGAAGTCTTGTCTCATACATCTGCAAAAGGAAAATAAGAAATTACAAGCTGTGAAGGTGAATATTGTTTTAATTTACCAAGGAAATGCAGATAAAACAGCTATCTTGCTATTAGAGAAGAGTAATATGTAATAATAATCATTAAGACATGTAAAATATTTACAAGCATCCATTTGACTAATGGAACACTGATGTTCCTTAAAACATACCTTTTGACTTGTTTCAAATACCACATTTATGTTTTCAGAAAAGAAAAGCATGTATAACTGGGGGGAGGACTTGTCACTCTATCACAAAGAATTATAATCAAACACTCTTCCTGAAAATTTAACTTACTGATGTGAAAATTGTACTTCTATCTGAATATTATGGATTATTCCAATATAGCTATAATAATAGGTCTGCCTTTACCATTACACTGATACGTAAGTTTCCAAAATAGACCAAAAGCCTGCAAGCCCTTCCTAAATAATATTTGTCTGAAATGTAAGGCAAAACATTAAGTTTTCATTCTAAAAATTAAGGTTCTTTGAAATATGTATAAACAAGTTTCTGTCATCCCTATTAACTTCCTGTTATCAAAATACATATAATTACACTGATTACCCTGATGATTAGGGCATCAAGTACCTCTGAAACAATGAACTATACAGCACTACAAGAAAGAACACAGCTATCTGAAACAGGCCAGTTTGAGATGTAAATATGATGAGTGCTTGCTGATTCATTAACATGTACAGAAAATAACATCCTCTTCATCCAACAAGTGGCACCTACCATGGTTAACGTGCGTCTGCAGTATGAACAAAAACACTTCCCTGAGATGGTGGTGTACAAAACCAGAAGGAAAGTTGCTTCCATTTTTGATACTAATTCTGGTATACCCTTGCTGAAACTGTTGCTTTCAGTACAACATTTATGTATGAAATGCATATTAGCATATGTCACATTGGTAAATCTTACCAACCTCCCCCTGTGTATGAGTCTATAAAATGTTAGTAACAACTTACCAGATGCAAATTTTTGTCTCCTGCTAACCTAACATAGGTTGACAGGGGAGGCTGCTGCACAACTGATACCAGGTGGTTTATCTCGGAAGTAACAGCATCTTCCACAACTTCCTTTGAGGGTGTTGAGATTCCAGCAGCTTCTTCATAACCTTCCTTGTACTTTGCCTGACCTTTCTTCTTCTCTCTCTTGCCTAATATAAAATACAAAGCAAAATTAGAAAACATAGCAAGCAAGAACATGATGGTTCAGTAGACACTTCATTACCATACAAAAATCATTATTTAAAAATTGACATACATAAATCAATTTTATTTTCAATTTCTGATACATCGTCTTGTTTATTAACTAGTTGTTATTTGGATACTAACACGACAGAAAGCAAGAAATAAGATATAGAATTTGAAGGAAAAAAATCAAGCAAAAAAATATATAACTGAATACATTAATCTGATAATTATGACAATCAGATGAACTTCAGATGGCAAATGTCAATGAAATAGTCAATAAGAGAACATATGACAGATGAATAAAAATATTCCTGAATTTAAGTAAATTCTAAATTTATGAAATACAATTCCTTTCACACACACGCACACAAAAAACCTATTATCTCACTATAAATTATAATAATAAACTTTTGACAGATATAGATTAACCAGTAGGAAAATGTTAACAACAAATGCAATTACAGTGAAACCTCGATGCATCGTTTTCGGCGGGGGTGGGAAATAAAAACGATGAATGCGGGAAAACGATAGATGCGGGAAAGCATTAAAAATTTAAAAAAAACAATGTTTCTCTTTCAAAGTTACTTCTTTTTACCAAAAAAGTCTTTA